CACACACACACACACACACACACACACACACACACACACATGCATTTGCATTCTTTCCCAAAAATTAATATTGATGGACATTTTGGGATACTTTCACTCTCATAATCTCATTCATATATATATATATATCGTCAAACAGAGCTGCCTGGTAAATCATAGTGTTACGATCCTGGTCATTCCCAAAGTGCAAATTCACAATGAAAGACAATGCCACCCAATTGCGAAAGAAATGAAAGGACTTGCAAAGAGATAGAGACCAAAGAAGAGAGAAAGAAGAAGAAGAAGAAGAAGAAGATGTACACCAGCAAGACCAATCATGACAAATCCGCCTTCTCTCTCTACCTTCCTCCTCCTCCTTCACTTCGCCAATCTTATTCTTCTTCCAATAAGAATAATAATAACAATGAGTGGATGAACCAGAATCAATATCTGAAGTTCCCTCTTACTGCTGACACAACAACAGGTCCACCATAGCTATGGCTTTCCCCCCTTCTTCCACCTCTCACATGCCTGGTCTATGGCGGACTACTGAGGGCTCTGCCCTCTGGTGCAAAGGACAACTCAAAGCAGCTATGTCGCTGCACTCCTGTCCAAAGGACAACCCAAAGCAGCTATGCCGCTGCTGACTAAGCTGCCATGCCTGACTCTGCCTCGAGCTTCCTTGGTGCGGCACTACCCCAACTGTGGCCTTCCAGATGCAGCACCCAACAAGGTGGTGAAGATGGTTTCCACCATAGCCAGGTAGGTACCTCGCCACTCTCCTCCTTTGCCCCCTTCTTCCTCCTCCTCAGGCTGGACTGCTCACCATAGCCAGGTTGAGCGCCCAGCTGCTCGTCACCTCCAGGCAGTGCTGCCCAAGGCCCCAAGTCCAGCGCTTGGCTCCAGCAGCATGTCGTCAATCCTTGCATACCGCAAATGAGGAGGAGCTGCTTGCTCCTCCGGGAAATATAGCGGCCTACTGGCCTCCTCAGCGGTGACTTCCTAGGCCGAGCCGCCTCCCAGCAACCAGTACCTCCTCCCTGTCGAAAACATCATTGCAGGCTCTGCTATCGTCCGGACAGGCCCTACACTCAGACTACTTGGACTGGTAATCTGGTACCGGCCTACCTCTCACCTACCGCTACTGGGCCTCTAAAAATGCCAACTTTTTGTTTTCTTCTGCTCCGCCTCCAGTACCCGACACTTCTACCACTACTTGAGTTGAGTGGTACCAGCCTACCTTCTACTTGAATGTTTTTCCCCGCTGCTCTAAGTGTGGCGGGCCTACCCCCGCTACCTGAGTGTTTTCCCCGCTGCAACCCTCAAAGTCATGACCACAGGTAAGTACCGGCCCTGCAGGGCCTTTCAACCAACAAGTACCCTTACAGGTCACACACATACTCAGCCGACAAGCACTTAGACAGGCACGCAAACCAGCAGGCACGCACACACACACACAGACTTGGAAACCACAGCAGAATGCGGGAATCTTAGCAAGGCATTCATTCCAGCCGCAAATCCCAAAAATCAGCAGTGTTCTCTATCTGTGTTTTGGCAGATCATTACACACCCCCCTCTCAAGAGCGAGGTCCCTTTGAGTGAGTAACTCATTCAAAGTCGGCACAAAATGTGTCGTAGGCGTAGATTAGAAAGAGAGATTAAGTATAAGCGTGAGGAGTGAGTTTTGCAGAAAACTTAGCAGTTTGTCCAGCAGTGATCTGTCGTTCATAAGCGTTAACAACACGGGGAACATTCTTTAGCAGTTTTTTTCAGTCGATCCAGAAGAACTCGTTCAACGGGTGATAGAGGAAGTGAACCTTGTACTGTTTGTCCCTCCCTCTTCTTTCATGGGAATCATGGGAAACGATTCTGTCTATCTCATGGACGTCGTTGATAGGACGAGGTATCATAAATTCTCGGAGGAAAAGTCTCATTGTCGAGCGCATCGACCCTCGCGCGAAAAGAGGGCTCTCACGGCCATGTGACGCAGCAGATAAACAAAATAAAACCTAGAGACAACTCGGGAACGACGCCTAACTAATCCCGCGAGCCGCCGAGACGACCATGGCCGCGTCGTCCCATCGCCGCTCTAGCCGGGTGCGTCAGCTATACATTCCGCGGTCCCCTACGACAGGATAGGTTTTCGCGGGGCATAAGCTTGCATCCCTAAGGGGTTGTCACCACCCTTAAAGGCGTATCCCTACCGAGCTACTGACCCACGTGCGAAAGCTTTTAGATGCAATTGCAGAGGTAGGTCAATCGAGGACGTTTGCTCGTTCACGGTAGTATAGATACGTTTGGTTAATGCCAAGTGGACCCGATCGCCGTCCGTTCCTAGGGCGCTGATCTCCTAGGTACGAAGCGGACGTTGGTCGACTAGGACGGTCTCAACCAAGCGTGAAACCCAAATTAATCCTAGTCCCTTTAGACATATAGCCAAAGAGA